GCGGCTTTGAGGTGTGAAAAGACGGTTCTCACATTTTTCGGCTCGGGTAGGGCTCGAGGCGCCGTTTTATCAGACGCCGTGCAAGGGGCGCGTCGCGCGTGTGCTGCGCTACACGCTCGGCGCTGTTAGTACCGCGCGGAGCGCCTTTGGGGCGGTGAGAAGTTGCCGGACGGCGTTCACGGTGTCGAGGTGTGAAGAGACGCCGTTCACACTTTATGCCGTGAACAGGGCTCGGCTCGCCGGCTCACGAGGCGGCCTTCGGGGTGCGTTTGCAGCACGTGCTCCTCTGTACGAGCCGCGCTCTCCACACGGCGCGCAGCGCCGCTAGAGCGGTTTGACGGCGAAAAAAAGACTTAGCGGTTTGGAGGTGTGGAGACGAATTTCACACCTTTCGACTCGAATAGGGCTTGAGACGCCGTTTTACTGAGGCCGCTCAGTGGGTGTGCTGCGCGTGTGCTGTGCTATACGCTCGGCGCTGTTTGCGAGGCGCGGAGCGCCCTTGGGGCGGCGAGAAGGCGCCGGACGGCGTACACGGCTCGAGGTGTGAAGAGGCGCCGTTCACACTTTATTCTGTGAATAGGGCGCAGATTGCCGACTCAAGAGACGGCCTTCGCGGTGCGTGTGCAGCGCGTGCTCCTCCCTTCGCGCCGCGCCCTCCACACGGCGCGCAGCGCCGCTAGAGCGGTTTGACGGCGAAAAAAAGACTTCGCGGCTTTGAGGTGTGAAGAGGCGCCGTTCACACTTTGTGCTATGAATAGGGCTCGGCTCGCCGACTCGTGAGACGGCCTTCACCGTGCGTGTGCAGCGCGTGCTCCTCTGCACGCGCCGCGCTCTCTTTGCGGCGCGCAGCGCCGCTAGAGCGGCTTGACGGCGAAAAAATGACTTAGCGGTTTCGAGGTGTGAAATGACGGTTCTCACACTTTTCGACTCGGATAGGGCTTGAGGCGCCGTTTTAGCAGACGCCGTGCGAGTGGCGTGTCGCACTTGTGCTGCGCTGCACGCTCGGCGCCGTTTGCACGGCGCGCAGCGCCCTTGGGGTGGTGAGAAGGCGCCGGACGGTGTTCACGGCTCGAGGTGTGAAGAGGCGCCGTTCACACTTTGTGCTATGAATAGGGCTCGGCTCGCCGACTCGTGAGACGGCCTTCATCGTGCGTGTGCAGCGTGTGCTCCTCTGCACGCGCCGCGCTCTCTTTGCGGCGCGCAGCGCCGCTAGAGCGGTTTGACGGCGAAAAAATGACTTAGCGGTTTCGAGGTGTGAAATGACGGTTCTCACACTTTTCGACTCGGATAGGGCTCGGGGCGCCGTTTTATCAGACGCCGTGCAAGTGGCGTGTCGCACTTGTGCTGCGCTGCACGCTCGGCGCCGTTTGCACGGCGCGCAGCGCCCTTGGGGTGGTGAGAAGGCGCCGGACGGTGTTCACGGCTCGAGGTGTGAAGAGGCGCCGTTCACACTTTGTGCTATGAATAGGGCTCGGCTCGCCGACTCGTGAGACGGCCTTCATCGTGCGTGTGCAGCGTGTGCTCCTCTGCACGCGCCGCGCTCTCTTTGCGGCGCGCAGCGCCGCTAGAGCGGTTTGAGGGCGAAAAAATGACTTAGCGGTTTCGAGGTGTGAAATGACGGTTCTCACACTTTTCGACTCGGATAGGGCTCGGGGCGCCGTTTTATCAGACGCCGTGCAAGTGGCGTGTCGCACGTGTGCTGCGCTGCACGATCGGCGCCGTTTGCACGGCGCGCAGCGCCCTTGGGGTGGTGAGAAGGCGCCGGACGGTGTTCACGGCTCGAGGTGTGAAGAGGCGCCGTTCACACTCTTGGCTATGAATAGGGCTCGGCTCGCCGACTCGTGAGACGGCCTTCACCGTGCGTGTGCAGCGCGTGCTCCTCTGCACGCGCCGCGCTCTCTTTGCGGCGCGCAGCGCCGCCAGAGCGGTTTGACGGCGAAAAAATGACTTAGCGGCTTCGAGGTGTGAAGAGACGGTTCTTATACTTTGTGGTTAAATTCTCACACTTTTCACACTACGAATGCCCCAGAAGCCACGGGCAGTGCGAAGCCGCGCGTGTTTTCTTCCCAGACCGGGCGGACGGGCAGACTCTCAGCTTCGCTCGCGGCAGCGCTTCTGCCTGCTCTTGCCCCTCTCGCCGCGATGCCACGATGCAGCGCACTAGATGCACCCTCCCGGCGCGGCACGGCGCCGGGCCGCTCGTCGGCGCGGTCTGATTGCCGCCGCGGCTCTCGTCGCGCCGCTTCGTCTCCGCCGCCGTCTCGGCGGCCGCGCGGGCTGAGCTGGGAAGGTTCCGCTCTGGAACTTATTTACGTGGGCACCGCACCGCCTCGCCTCGCGCCTCGCGCGGCCAACTCTCCACCCGCGGCGGCTGGCCGGCGCCACACGTACCTCCGCATCTCGCTCACCGAGCGCTGCTCGCTGCGCTGCACGTACTGCATGCCCGCGGACGGCGTGTCGCTCACGGACGCGCGGCGGCTCCTCTCGGCGGAGGAGCTGCTCCGCCTCGCCGCCCTCTTCGTCCGCGCCGGAGTCGACAAGATCCGCCTCACGGCGAGGTGATGCTGCTGTGCGTGGGCGGGTCGAACGCCTAGCCGACTCGGAGCGTTCAACACGCGTTAGGCATCCTGTACGTGTAGAATGTGGCGCCCGGCGACAGCGCGGCGATCGAGCTCGCCTCCCCTACCCCCACGGTGCCCGAACCCATCCCCTACCCCCACGGCACCCGAACCCTAGGCATGGGTGCTCGAGGAGCTCAACCGGCGCATCGACCGGTTCACCTATCGGCCAGAGTCCGTCAAGGAGCTCCCCTCCTCGGGCTGGTCGACGCCGCCGCATTTTGCGAATGCCGACGAGCAGGCCAGCCTGAGTCACTCTTGTTGTGATGAGTGTATGAGTCGTGCTGGAAGACTCTCACCCCATTCTTCTCCCTCTCTTCGCACTCTCATTCTCCCCACTCGTCCCATTCCTACGCCGGCGAGGTAGGCCAACCTGAACGACATCATCGCGTCGTCTCTCAACGGCGCCCCCACGTTTGCGGCCGGCGTCGAGTTCTACGAGGCCCGCTTCAAGAAAGACAAGGGGTCGCAGGAGGCGGCCAAGCGGATGCAGGACGGCCGAGAGGGACGCGCAAGCGCAGCCGCGCGCGAATCCTACCCTACCAACCCGGTACCCGAACCCATGCAGGACGGCCGATGGACGCGCAAGCAGCAGCAGGGCGATGTCGCGCCGGCGCGCCAGCGGCTCGTCCCTTTAGAAGCGGAATCTCTCCCCATCTCTCCCCATACCTCACCGTCTCTCCCCATCTCTCCCCATCTCTCCCCATCTCTCCCCGTAGTCTGCACAGTCCCGCCTTCCCGCCCCCGGACGTCGGTGTGTTCCGCACGCAGGCGCGTCTCGCTCACGCCAGACCACATCTCCCCATATCTCCCCATATCTCGCAGGCGCGTCTCGCTCACGCCAGACCACATCTCCCCATATCTCCCCATATCTCCCCATATCTCCCCATATCTCGCAGGCTCGTCTCGGTCAAGCCAGACCATATCTCCCCATATCTCCCCATATCTCCCCATATCTCGCAGGCTCGTCTCGCTCAAGCCAGACCATAGCCTCGACAAGGTCGTCCACCTGTGCAAGATGGACTCGTGGGGCGCCGTCTCCGCCGCCCCGCTCCGCGTGCCCGGCAACGCCTCTGCGCCCGCCGCGTCGCTGCTGCAGCTGTGCGTGTCTCAAGGAAGTGATCGTTTGGTTCTTCTACTGCTTAGGCGCCCGGCGCGTCGCTGCTTCTCGCCCCCGAGTGGCTCTTCTCTCACTTTCCGTACGGCATCTTCTTCCCGGCGTACCGCGTCTGCCACGCCGCCTCGTGGGGGTGGGAGATAGGGGGAGATCGGGGGAGGTGGGTGGAGATAACGGGGGACAGGGGGAGGTCTGGGGGAAGGTGAGGGGGAGATCGGGGGAGGTATGGGGAGGCATGGGGAGGTGAGGATGGGGAGAGGGGGGGGTACGGGGAGGTACGGGGAGGTACGGGGAGATATGGGGAGATATAGCCCGAACTCGTCCCGATGGGC